AAAAGAAGAGATAAGTGGGAAAAGTCTGACGATCCTCTGATAAAAAAAGGAATGTGTCATTCTCCTCCGAATTATTTGGAATTTTAATTTTTTTTTCAAATCTCTCACTTCGTTAAATATCTACATCAACGGGTTTTTATACAATTGGTTGCATTTTTGTCGGGGGGAACACAGGGGCTTTTTTTAAACAATGGTAATTTTTCTTTCGCAAACTCTTTAATGTTTTTTGTCGGGTAAAAAATGAAGCTCGAAAGGTGAATGCAACGTTTTTCAAGCAACGGGCAACACATTTTTTCCTGCAAAGGTTTTGCAAATTTCTTTTGTACAAAACTTGGCAATTAAATAGAAAAATCCGGTTTTTTTTGGGACCTCTCTCATGGTAAATTGCCCTTATAAACGCGAATCCGTGAAATATAATAAGGCAAATATCCAAAAAATCCGAAGAAAAAAATACGAAAAATGTAGTTTTTTTTATAAAACTTGTTTTTTTCATTTTTAAATAATGATTAAAATTAACTTATGTGAGATAAGGTTAAAGACTTGTTAATTTTGTTTTAACGAGAACTTCCCTGCAAGGATAAACGTTAAAAAAGTGATAACAACCGGAAGTCCTCTACGTCACTTAAGTTTTTTTAAAAAATATTTTGTACCCATTTCAGATTTTTATTTCAGAACAAAACCGGAAATAAATCAAATGAATATTTCCGAGCACGATAAAGATACTCGTTTCCGGAGAATGATCTACACTCAGTACTATGACAGTGCGAGGCAACAGCTCCTGTCGACAATAAATATAACCTTGGTCAAAATAATAAATTACTATTCGTTTCTGAATAGAATCTGTTTTTTGGACAACATGTGCAAAATATACGTCGCATATTCGAAATGGGAGGTATGTGGTGTTCCGATTACGCACTTTTTTCGCCTATCTTCGGCCCGGGAGTGGAGTGCGCGGGTTTTTAGCTGGGTCGTGGCGGGGCGAGTGGGGCGGAGTGGGGGTGGAGGTGGGGTGGGGTAGGCGGTGAGAGACGCGTCAAATCCGGGAGCGGCGTGGAGTTCGACCGTGGAAGTTGGAAGGGAGAGGTTGGGAGAGTCCGCGAACTGTGGTGCGAGATGGGGAGGGAGGGGGGGGGATAGACAACGGGAGGGAGAAAAGATTCAGAGCTTTGCCGAGATAATGCAGCCGGTTGTCATTCGGTGCAATTCGTGAAGTAAACATGAATTGCTAATGTGCAGTATTGCAATCATTGTTTTATTTTCTTTTCATTTAAAGAAAAAAAAATACCAACTAAAAAGCAATCAGAATGATGGTGCAGGCTGAGTATTAACCAATACTGAAACTCTTACTGTGATTGTAAACCTTTCATCGTAGGAATTTGTAATTTAAAAATTTTTCACTCCGTTTAAAAAACCCTTCTCGAGAAGTAGGATGGATGGTAGGCGCGGAGCGCGGAAAGACAGAGGGGACGGCAGCGGGGAAAGACAGGAGGGGACGGCAAGCGGGGGAAAGACAGGAGGGGACGGCAAGCGGGGCAAGACGAGGAGGGAAAGGACAGGACAGAAACAGGACGGAGGGCGGTGGAACGTCAGGCAGGGAGGTGGCACGGAAACAGACGATACTCCTGGGCCTCCAGGGACAGGTTTGGCGGGCGGGGCGGGCGGGCGGGGCGGGGGGGCGGGGCGGCAGCAAAAGGGAAGAGCGCCGTGGCGGGCGGCGGCCGAGCGGCTCATGCGTGGGGCAGGGCAGCCTTGTGTTGTGCGCGCCGGCGCCGCGCCGCGGCGCCGCGCCGCCCCCCGTCCCCCACCTGACTTCTCCTGTGGCTGGCGGCGCGATATAGCTCGTCGCGCCGCGCCGGCTGAGTCACGCGCCTACCGCGCCGCCGCCCTCTCCCCACGCCGTCTGCGCGACCGTCTGGCCGCTGGGCTCCGCCGCGCAGGAGGTGGAATGGCCTCCGCTCCGCCAAAGGCCACTGCGCCGCCGCCGCCGCCCGCCACACCACACACACACGCACAGCCACGGCACGGACAAAATAGCTTCGCAGCCACTTACATAGCCGAGAAGCCTATATCCCCATTGTACACTTAATATTGGAAACTTTGTTACAATGAAGAAAATAAAACAAACTTATTGTACAAATTTATTTTTCAAATAATATCTACAAGTATTTATGAGACCCGTGTACTAATTAATTTCTAATTATTACGTCTTCATTTTGCAGTGTATCCATTTCTTTTCCAAAATAATTAATTATTTTGTACAACCTAAATTGAATTATATATTTTTGTAGCATCAAAGAATAGTGAATTATTTTTACGTATGACGAACTATGTACATTTTTGCGAAAAAGAATAGAAGGGCTCGGACTATCGCGGGATTATGGTGCGCTTTAGCGTGCATTAGAATAATGCACCATCCTGCACCGGGAGCAGACTGCTCGTTAATTGGAAGAGTATAACGTACTTAAGGAGTGCGTAGTGCATCAGTAATGCGACTGGTTCGTAACGCTAGACTGTCTGTTAAATCATTGATAACGTACTTTTAAGTGAAGGAAAAAACTGGCATTCGGTTGTGCAGGACGGTATTACCTATTATAGTCAACGAATGCTGGGTAAAATCCTTTACCACCTGCAGAGCAACCGGTAGTCAGTAATAGACGTCGATGCAAATATTACTGAACCAGTTCGTAAAAATTTAGTGCTAGCAAAGTTTAGTTTTCTAGAACACAACTACATGTGCAAATCACCAATAGGATGCGAATGATATTTCACCTCATCCATCCGGATGTTAATCAATCAGATGCGAAATAATCAATGTTTTAAAGCTGGTGTAAGTAACTCTCTTAACTAAATTCGTGTCACAATCAATAATTTCGTCAGTGGTCAGTTATTATTAATTGTTTGAATAAAGGAATATATATTAGTAGAATTAACAATAACTGAGAGCAAAGTAACAAGTCTGAGGCCTGGGTCAGCCATCATTCGCTGTTTTTGAGAAAAAAAAAAAAAAAATGGGGGGGGGGGTTTAAAAACGGGTGGGGGGGAAAAAAAAAAAAAAAAAAAGAGGAAAAAAGAAAAAAAAAAAGGAAAAACCCCCCCTACGCCCATGCTTTTAGCGTTGAGCATTGAATTTTGCGATATACTAGAAAATGAGGTAATTTGATTAAATTCCGAGCGCGAATACTGCCAAGGTCGATTATTCCGTAAGTGTGAGTATATTTTTATTCGGGAACGGGGCGGCAATCTTTTTCCCGGCGGATGGCGAGATCTGGTGCCTGACCAGACGCGCTAATCGGGTTTCCCCAACCAGGTTCTCCCAAGAGGAGGGGGGCGGCAATCCTTCGGGCGATACGTAGGCCTCTCGGAAGTACACAAAAATGATTGTGGCAACAGCAAGTTATTTCATATTTAACTTAATCACAAAATTACAATTAAGTAATGTTTTTTCATACCAGAAACTAAACATTGAAAAAGTAAAAAACATCGATCACAAAACATCGAGTTAGAAAAAAAAACACAGGCACTTTTTAAGCATACGATGTTAAAAAAACATCGATGCTTAAAATCCCCATGTTTCAATAAAAATAATCGATGTTTTGAAAACCTCGATGGAACGGGTGTGACGGCCCGGCTCGCTTTTCCGGAACTTAAGTGAGGAGGCGTAATGAAGTGTAGTCATATAGCTCGGCATCTGGAGCCAGACGGGCAATTTATGGCTGTCGCTAGATGTATATAGAGAGCCAACAGCCGGCGAGACCATCTCTCAGACTAGGGATATCGCTCGACGTCGAGGTTTTCAAACATTACTGAGAGAAATGTTGGGTAGATCCGATTGTTGTACTAAACATCTTTAGTAAGCGTTCATTGGTAAAATTCAAACTATTCGTCTGGTAACAATTAATAAACATTACGTTAACATTCTAGTAAATGGAACAATTCATAATACTGCGAGTAAATGTATACAAAGAATAGTCAGTAGTTTCATAGATCAATATCTTCGGCGATTTCAACTCTCTCCTGTGACATTTACAAACCCCGTTTAGTTTAACCGCGTTCGTCAATTAAGTCTAAATCATTCAATTATTACAGAGACGACGGAGAAGTGTGAGAAGTCTACGGTGAATGCGATACTTGTGCGCAGCATAACTCTGTGTTGGCATATTTTCACATTGGTAATTTCTAAACTAACGCAAGAACACAGTCGGAATCCAGGAGTCCGTACATTTCTGATTAGCTAGATCGCAGATAATCGAGGTTAGCGAAGTTACGACCCTACGGACCTGCGGGATGGGAGACTTCCCCAAAACGAAGTAACATCTAGCAAAGGGAAAGGAAGACTATCCTTTTCCTCTCACGCTTCTGTTTAATAAATTTAATAAGTGCAGCGCTTAGTAAAGGCAGTTATGAAAACCTACTATTTTTCGTTTAGTAAATTTCACTTGCGTTTTTAGGCAAATTAGTAGAGCGTATACACGCACGGTTTCCTTTAAGTAATAACATATGCGTTCGCCATAGATTACCGCGATGTGTTTAATAATAGCGCGGCTCACGTACTTTAGTAGGCCTGCATTAAAACGAGTTTTTGTAAGACGAACTAAGGACTGTTTTGGCCAATAAGTATATCAGTGAAGTCTAAATACGAGAGTTAACGGAATTAATTGGTCTAACATTTACTTCCGTCAGAAACATCGATATATGAGACCGATGTTTTGAAACTATGTTTTGTGCTCGAATGTTCTTTTACGTTCCTATGTTTGTTGTGAATTAACTAAATTCACTTGGTCATAAATTGTAGAAGTTAAAACACTTCTTAAGACCTCGGCTTAATAATCCAATATTTAAAACCTTGATTTTTCAAAAACATGTTAGAAAACTCTTCGGTTTTAATACAATCCGAATTGTTTAATAACCTCTACGAAAAACATCGATATTAGAAAACCCAGGGCTTTTAATTCATCAAATGTTTAACGCATGTTAGAAAAACGTCTTGCACGTTTAATATACGGATTTGAAACACAGATGTTGGAGAAACTCCGCCATAAATACACAAGATTTAAAGTATCTCAATGCGCCTAAAAAACATCGATAACTAAAAACCAGGGCTTTTAATGCATCACGCGCTTAAAAGAAGCGATTGGTGTTTGAAGGTCTAGCATGGAGCCGCCGCTGTGCTCTCCGGCGTGGAGGTCCTGTGGCCATGGGGCACGCCCAAATTTAGCCTTCTTTTCGGGAATGGCGCACCGTTTCGAACCGACGGGGAACATGTATGCAAGAGTACCCGAGCGAAATAAGCTTTCAGCCGGACGGAATCGCTACGGGACGGCGGCGCTTTTGCTTTCAGCGCCCTCGCAGCTCGCTCGATGATGGAAGGGGAGACGGACGGGCGCCCAAGCGGGTGCATAAGGCCGTAGCACAGACTCACGAGTCCCTTAACTAACAAAAATTTACTCGTTCTTATTAATGATGAATAATCTTAATAATATTATTTAAAGTGTTTATATGCAGAAACAAAACGTTACGTAGTGTCTTTGTTTTCTTTTTTCAAAAAAAAAAATAATATTGAGGAATTTAAATTTTCGAAGATCCTAAACTTAACAGGGATATAAATACGTATTCAGAGAAACGTCATCGTGATGTCGCTTTCAAACATGAATGTTTTTATAAAATCATTAACCAAATGAGCAAGTGACGGCGCGATCTTTTCTTCCTTTTCCTTTCCTCGCCCACACCTTAATTAATCTGAAATGCACTACAACTACAGAGATACCGGAAAGACCAGTCATAGCTTAGGAGCTTGGCCGGATGGGGCGGTGGCCCCGCGTGGGAGAAATACATGTTTGTGGGGTGATGAAAGCGCAAGACAAGTGATGTAAGTAGGCGGGCGCTGGGATTAACAACATCAGACGGGGAATGGATCACCACAGAATTCTCAGGCGAAAAAAAAAACTGCACTATAAGTATGGTAGCTAAATAGTCGTTAGCACTTAAAGCGGGCCAGAGACGAGCTAATCAATCAGTAGATAAGATTGGTTACACAATGGTTTCCGCAGTAATGCTCCCCCCCTCTATTAGAAGTGGAAATGTGCAGGAGAGAATTTGGAACTCTGAATCGGAATTCCCAAAGTTGTAAGGGTGAAATTCTTCGGGGGGGATGAAACTCGGTTATTCTAGGGGATGCTACACAATAATCGAGAATCAAAAATTCCCTCAATGGCCTCCCAATTCCAGAACGTCGATTTCTCGTAATCACTTGTGGCTTAACACATTGGGTTCTTTTTTTTTTTTCTTTTTTTTTTTTTTTTTTTTTTTTTTTTTTTTTTTTTT